AAAAATCCGCTGGTTTAATAATGGTTTTCATAACTAAAATAATCGCACCATACAAATGTCTAATAAATGTGGAACTATATATGTTCTAAACTCTAGATAATAAATTAAGAATTGATAATAACCTGTGTAACATAAAAATATATAAATGTCGTAAATGTAACAAATTCATAATAAAAAAAGCTCACAAAGCGCAAAAATTCATGGGTGTAAGAGGTAAAATAATGTTGGTGCCATAATAACCGATTAGAATTAAGTAGTGGATAAATGGTGATCCCCCTCCTCAGGAATGTACTGCGATCACTAATGACGTTTCGGAGAGCCCGAGACCTGCACTAACGCCTCTTGTCAGGGGTGTGTCCTTGCAACAGATCTCACTGCCTGCACTCTACGTCATGCTAGTCAATATTGCAATATAATAGGACTACACTACAAAAACCAAAAAACCCAATCGCTATCCCAGTTTTTGAAAACAGCTCCAACATTCTTAGAGATTTCGTGAGGGTGGTGAGAGATGCGCGTGGTGTGACCATAAACAGATATGTAAACACATATAAATGTAAGGTACCCTTACATTAGAAGAAACAAACTTGTACACAAGTACGTATGCCCGTGTATAAATAAACAATTATAATGTGTAGAAATAACATAAAGCGAATAGAAAATAGTAATTAATAATAAATAGTAACTTACCGTTTCTTTAAGGGCTGAAATATGTATTATAGATATAATAAGTAAATACCACTCATAAGCATTGATACTAAGTTAAGATGTTTTGTGGTTAGTATGAAAGTAGTTAAACAAAAGTATGATAAAAAAATGTGATAACTCCAATAGTATATTCTCATATAAATCTTGCCTGATAAGTAGAGACAATAGCTATCACACAAAACAGACTCAGAGTAATTAAACAATGATTAGCCAGAGATAAAAAAAATATACAAACATTAAATGCGATTTTTTACTAATAGCTTATAACCACTAAAAAATGTAACGTTAAAAAACAATATTGTTTACAAAACGACCAAAGGAATGTTAGTGAAGACTGTATAGTGCAAACCACAACAAACTGACTTAGCGACGTCAGAACGAGAAAATTAGATAGAAACAAAAAACCTAACGTAATTCTGATTAGTCTAAACTTATCTAGTGAAATTGTTCAGTATATTCCAACCAAGAGTACATTTGTTATAAAAAATACGCTAATATGTACTTTTGTGTAAAATTTTTGCGCTGTTATGCTTCTCACAAATATACGGCCTCATTTACACATTATAACACAAATCTGAATAAATATACAAGGATAAGGTAAAAAAAGAATATGAACAAAAGTATATAATAAAGAAGAAATATTTGATATACTGATTTTAGAGGCTGTTGATGTCTACAGGTGTGATGGTGTAGTGCATTAGTATGTACCATTTGGTCTTCTAGTATGGTCTCGTTATGTCTTCGTTCACTTTCTTTTATATTTTATTTTTTATTCAATGACACCATCTTCTAACTGTTTTTATTATCACATCTCTCAAGTCTATGAAACTGGACGGCTCCGTTGGTCACTTTTTGCGATCATTGTGTCGCATAAGCAAAAAAAATTTATTCTTTGTGACTGGTGAGCCCCAACTTTTTCCAATGTACACCACAACGACAAAACAGACATTAGGCTATCCCGCTGGATGTGGTTACAGCGCTCAATAACCTAATGATTACGCTGACACTCACGCACACGTTCAGTCAGAAGTTCCACAATGCATGTCGGATCAGCACTTGCTGACTATGTGCTCGGATCTGAAATCTCACTTCATAGCACATCATTCCACACCAGCACAGGGCAGTAACTCTTTTGGCTAAGAGTGATGGCTTGTGGCCTACGGTGACTAATGTGTGCATTCGATCAATTGAAATCCATTCTGTAGGTCTCACGTCTGGCTCTGATGTGCTAGCCCATAAGCGCAAGAAGTGAGTGTGTTTAGCTTTCTATTCACCGAATTGAAAGTGAAAAATTATGACAAAAAGTATACCGTGGAAGTTCTTTGATATAAGCACGACTCCTCATATGAGTAAGTGCAAACTATGTGATAGTTACGAGAGGGGGAAAACCTTTTAAGTCTTATGGAACTACAGCAATGGTAAAACATTTGCGTTTAAAGCATTCCAAAGAGTTTGAACTTGCGGAAGAAAAAAAAAGGTTCAACCATTGCCGTCTATTTCTGAAGCCTCAGTTGCTTCTACCACCAATACAGTTCAAAGTAAGATTATTCAGGCTTTACACAAAAAAAAAAAAGCAGGGGAATATTAAAGACCACAGATCTATTCAAATCCATAAAATAATAGGAAAACTTATCACATATGGATATTCAACCATTTTCTATTGTTGAAGATACAGGGTTTAATGAACTGATTAAAGATGCTTACCCCAATTAAAAATTACCATGTAAATCATATTTCAGCCAAAACGTAATCCCTAAAGATATAAAAATAAAAATCTCCGTGGCAAATTATTTGTCTCTGACGACAGATATTTGGACAGCGGATACTGCAAAAATTGCATTTTTAAGCATTACTGGACATTGGATAGGTCAAACTAAATTTTCCCAAGAAACTGCCGTTCTTTGAGTAATTCATTTTCCAGAAAAACACACAGGTGTTCATATATAAGAGTATTTACAAAAAGGTTTAGAAACTTTTAAAATCCCGTTAAGCAAAATTCATCTTATTGTTACCAATAATGCAAGCAATATGAAGGCTGCAGTAAAAAACAGTAGAATGTCATCAATTCCATGCTTTATCCATACTTTGCAGCTAAAATTAAAATCAATTCACCAGCAGTTAAGTACTGTACCTCACAAAATGAAACAAGATGTTATAACTCGCAGGAACAGTTCATTTGAAATGCTACAAAGAACGTTTGAACAAAAAGCTCCTTTGGCCACCTATTCACCAGAATATAATGAAATTAAACTTCCTACTAATTATCAATGGGGAATAGTCGAAAAACCTGTTCACATTCTTGCTCCATTTGAAAACTTGACAAAAAAATGTGGTAGGAGGGACGAAACTTGCGCACAAATTATACCATCTGTTCTTGCATTAAAAGTTTTATTACAAAAAGCTTCATCAAGTGATATATACGCTGGGATTATGACGATGATTGATGAACTAATAAAATCTGTTACTAAAAGACTTGATAAATTTTTGCTTAAGAAAATGTTATGTGTATCAACATTTTTGGATCCACGATATAAATTACTTTATCAACATGCAGATAAAAATGTTATTAAGGAGTGGGTTAAAGAAGCATGGAAAGAAATGCAAGGAGCGCAAGATGTTGTTGACTCTGACATCGAAGATGCTCTAATAGTAAAAGCTCCAGCATCTAATGGATTCATTAGCATTGATGATTGTTTTAAAGATCTAGCTTCTATGAGAACCGGAAGAAAGCAGAGTGAAAGACGTTCCGAGGCAGAAAGAGAATTAGTAGATATTGAAGTTGTTACCACTGACATAATTAAGATGCAAACAATATTAAGGTCTGCAATTACTCAAGAAATAGACAACTATTTATTTCTGCCTCTTTTAGAAAATAAAGGTTGTCCGTTTTTGTGGTGGAGTAAATGTGAAATGCAATTTGAAAAACTAAAAAAGATGGCATTAAAATATCTTACAGCACCTCTATCATCAATAGAAAGTGAAAGGTTATTTAGTGCTGGTGGGGGCATATACGAAGCAACAAGGAGCAGACTAAAAGCAGATAACGGAGAATACCTGTTGTTTGTGCATTACAATCTAAAGTTAATAAAACAATTAAAATAAGATACAGCAAATAAGTGTTGTTTAAGTTCTTTTTATTTGTTTTAATTTAATCACTCTTCAGCCGAGGTCTACCTTTTTTTGCAATTCTTTATACTTCCTAATCTTTTGCTTTCCATAATATAACTTTCAATGGCGGAACTTCAAATTTTGGACCCGGTTTTTTCAGCATGGTACACGGAATCGGAGACTCAGCATAAACTGGTTCCGGCACATCTCTAATTATTTTGTTGATTCACATGTTTTGTTGATTTTTTTTTTTAATGTAATATAATTGTTATAATTGCTACACAATTTTTTTCAATAGAGATGATTTTTTATGTTGAACATTTTCAATTATTACTGTCATGTTTTTGAAAGTAACCTTGGACACAATCATAGATAGTAAGGCTTGGACACTATCATAAACAGTGAGACCTTGGATATCATAGACAGTGAGACCTTGGACAAAATTATAGACAATGAAACATTGACACAATCATAAACAGAACATGGTAACTTGAGCAATAAGCTATGCAGTTGCCTTGTTCTGCTAATCAACCTAATTTTGTAACAAAGGCCTCCTTATGTGACCTCAACAATTCACATCAAAAGCACTAACAAAGATGTTATGTATGTGCAACATGGCACTGTTGATACTCTGACATTTTACAGCTTTTGATAATACTGAGAGCTGCTAAAAAAAAATAACTATGAAAGCTATTAAACAAAAACCCATGAGCAAATTCAAGAAGATCTAGCAATTATCATCTAAGACATGAAACAATGTAACACAGGTTTACACCAGCTTATTAGTTATAAGCTAAAGAAAGGGTGTGAAGTTGATAAACCAGATTAAAACCTAAAATTAATTAACTCTACTTTTAGGTTATAATTTACAGGGTAATTTTCATAAAAAAATAAAAAAAGGAATTTAACAAATTTTTGTTCTAAAGTTCTTTAAAATAAAATAAAATCATCAAGAATTCTTTTTTTACTTTTTATTGTTACATCAAGATTTTTTTTATTTTTTATTTTTTTATGAATATTACTAAAAACAAAAAATATTACTAAAAAAAAAAAAAAAAAAAAAGACTTCCTATTTTTTAATTACTTTTATTGACACAGTTTTATCACTGTGTCAATAAAAGTAATTAAAAAATAGTCATTAAAAAATAGTCAAAAATAACAAGTATTTTTAATAAATAATATACCTCGTTTTTTATATAAACTTTAAACTCAGTAAAAGAAGTACCAAGAAGTCTTGCTACCCCCTTATAAATATCAAGGCCAAGACATAAAGATGGAAACTTCAACATCAGAATATAGCACAATATCTAAAAAGAACTATCTGTATATAAATAGGAGTCGCTCATAAATTATGTCATGCTTTAGGCAGGGGAGTCATGCTTTAGGGGGTTGGTGTCTTGTGACAACTCATATGGAACTTGTTACTAAAGTGACAAGAAGGGGGAGTCAAAAACGGTTGCATTATGTAATTTATGGACAACCCTGTATATACATTATATATAACTTTTTTTTCTAATTGTTGTATTTGGATTTAAACCAATATAAAATCATCATAAACAAACAAATATTTTGTGTGCAATATTTTCCATCATATTTCTCTATTATATAACAGTGCATAATAGAGATTTTAAAGATTAGCTCTTTAACAAAACTTGTTGATAAAAAGAAAAAGAATTAAAACTTTAACTTTGCTTTTAGATCAAAATGTTTCAGTTAAATCAAAACTTGGTTCAAGTTAAAATAAGTTTAAGTTACCTTTAATTTTAGGTTATAATAACCATTACTTAAATGGTTAAATGCCAAAATATTTTTTTTATATAAGTAAGTTTATACTTTTTGTTTAGGTGTACTGTTAAATCAACTTTTGGTTAGAGGTAACTAACTTTTTAAATAGGGGTTTAACCCATGGTTAAAGGTAACCAAGTTAAAGAGCTAGTTAAATCAACCTCTTATCGAAGATAAGATATTAATAATCCATACTTATAAAGCAGGGTTAAAATACCTAGACTTAAGATGATTTTTAATTAACAACTTCATATTAAAAGTAACTAACAATATAAAAATAAAAACATATTTTAAAGAATTGCCACTAACAATAAAAAAGTTTACTTACTGAAAACTTTGAGGAATAAAAATGAACAAATAATTGGGTAGTGTATTTACTTTTTGGTCCTAATTTTAGATTACTTGTACAAGTTAATTTATTACTACAAGAATAGCTTATATTGCTACTTGAAGTTTCATCTTTTAACATATTTGCATTTGTTTGAAATACATACACTTCACCATCTGCTACCATGAGTTCAAACAACAAAAGGCTGTCATTCTACAAGTAACAAACAATACAAGGTTAAAACTCTGCAAAAAACAAACAATTCAAGGCTGTCATTCTGTAAATAACTAAAAAAATAATCACTCTACTAATAACAAACAACATAAGACTATCATTCTACAAACAAACAAGACTATCATTCTACAATTAACAAACAAAACAAAAAAGACTTCAAAAAATAAAGCTTCTCTATTTATAAAACAATTGAGTCAGAAATAATCATATAATGAATCTAAAAATTTGGAAAAAAAACAACAACAAACAAACAAAAAAACACCAGAATATGAGGCTGTCTTTCTTCATCAATTAGACATATTACTAAAGATTCTAGTGATAAATGTACAACATTCATAAATATAATCTTTTCTTTGAGACTTCCTACTGTAGACCAATTATTTATAGTAAAGCTAAATCTAAAAAAAAATCTATTTTAGCCAGTTTTCAAGAATATTAATATGAAAAATTTTTTTTAAAACATTCAACAAAAATGAAGTATAAATAAATCTTGATAACAATAAAATGTTCTTTTTAAAACTTTTTGAAATAAACTTTAACTTGTTGTTTTAAGTATGGTTGCTACTTAACCATGGTTACTACTTAGTAACTTTTAAAGAGCTTCAAAAAGTTTTTCTTAAACTTAAAAAAACTAAACCTTGTGCTAAGTATATTCGTTCCTTTTCCTTCAATAACTTTGACAACTACAAATATTTTAACAAATATTTCTCTATATCTAGCAATATTTTTTAAATGTTTCATTTTATTAAAAAAAATTGAAAAACTCCTAAAGAAATATTTACTTATGTAATATAAATATAATACAAATATGAGATCTGATACAAAGCTAACTATTGAGCATTAAATTTTACACAAATAGAAAAATATTTAAAAAACAAATTACATAAAAGCTTTTCTTCTAAATCTTCCAAAGAAATAGTAACAGATGTAAATGCTTCATTCACAACCATTATGTGACCACACTCACATTGCGTCTAAAAAAAAAGCATGGAATTTTGCTGACAGTTTTCAATTAACTTTTTTTTTTAATATTTTTTATTTCTCATTTGGGTTAATGAGTTATAAACAAAACAAAAATAATAATTCTTATTTTTACTTTTTTACTTCTTACAAATAACAATTTTTAAATCTTCTTTAAACCTTCTTTTTAAAATAATAATACCTTCTTTTTAAAATAATAATACCTTCTTTTTAAAACAATACCTTCTTTTTAAAATAATAATACCTTCTTTTTAAAATAATAATACCATCTTTTTAAAATAATAATACCTTCTTTTTAAAATAATAATACCTTCTTTTTAAAATAACAATACCTTCTTTTTAAAATAATAATACCTTCTTTTTAAAATAATAATACCTTCTTTTTAAAATAATAATACCTTCTTTTTAAAATAATAATACCTTCTTTTTAAAATAATAATACCTTCTTTTTAAGATAACCACGAAACAAATGACTGACAGCAGTATGATTTTGCTTGATGGTAAACCTAAACACAAAATTTACAGAATGGTGAAAAATTTATCGCGCAAATATATCAAAACATGATTACAAATATAAGCATTAACAAATATCGGTTGTTGTTTTTATTATTATTATAATTATTCTAGTTGATGTTGTTTTTGTTGTTATTATCATTGTTGGTATGACTATTACAAAAACTAAAAATTGGTAAGAAAAAGAATGTTCTTGCAAATAAAAAGCAATGCAGTAGTAATACATTAGATTCTGTAAAAGATGTTTCAAAATTAATGCAAAATATTCTATAACTCTCAATTCTGGGCCATTTAAAGGATTAATTTAAAGGATATATTTTGTTCATTTCAAAGCCTCCCATTGTTTATACAATTTCATAGCTTACTTGTCATAATAACTTGAAGTCAAATCACAGATCCGTTATCATGTCATTGAATGGGAGTTTAAAGATGTTTTTATAAATACACTCCATAAACTAGTACAAACATAAACTTGACCACTAATTGTAGACTCACAAATACAAACATAAACTTGACCACTAATTGTAGACTCACAAATACAAACATAAACTTGACCACTAATTGTAGACTCACAAATACAAACATAAACTTGACCACTAATTGTAGATTCACAAATACAAACATAAACTTGACCACTAATTGTAGATTCACAAGTACAAAGGATTTTACAAAGACTAGAAATAGTTTTAAGACTTTTTTAGCAAACCTTTCATGTTTTGTGCATTTAGGTTTTTTATATCTACTTCTTCATATTTGAAAATATAATAGACAGGCATTAGAATTTATTGATGATAATTTGTTACCTAAGCATATGCATTTGCAACTCTTTTCTTATTAAAGTGTAGCTTTTGTTATTAAAGTGTAGTTTCTGTTGTTAAAGTGTAACTTTTGTTATTAAAGTGTAGCTTTTGTTATCAAATTGTAGGTTCTGTTATTAAATTGAAGGTTCTGTTATTAAATTGTAGGTTCTGTTGTTAAATTGTAGGTATTGCTATTAAATTGTAGGTTCTGTTATTAAATTGTAGGTTCTGTTATTAAATTGTAGGTTCTGTTATTAAATTGTAGGTTCTATTATTAAAGCGTAGCTTCTGTTATTAAAGTGTAGCTTTTGTTAGTATTTTACCAACTTTTGTGCATTATTTTTTTTTGTCTAATTTTTATCATTTTTAAAGCCTATTTTAATTTAAATATAAAAACTAAAACATTTTTTTTGAAATAACATCTTGTTATTAACAAAATACAAACATTTATTGATACAAACTATAGAAAGAACTGACATTTATTATTTCGCATTTATTTTGTTTACACACTTTAGGTACAACTGTACCAAAAGTTAAGTGCATTAAAATTTAAGAATGACTTTAAAAATTTACAAAAAATAATCATAAATCATGTGTAAAAAATATCTTGAAACTAAAACCAATATACTCCATGCAACTTTGACAACTAAATAAAAAATCAGTAACAATTTTTATAATTGCAAATAATAAAAACAATAAAAAAAAAATCTCAAATAAAAAAAACCTGCATTGCTCATAACAAGTCTTCTTTAAATATTTATGTATCTTACAGTCCACTAACTCTTCATGAAGAAGCTCCAACATACTTATTAGTATTGATGATGGACACTTTTCACAAACACACAAATATATGTATATATTTTTTAATATTTAAAAAACTAAGATATATGTAAATACTTTTACGAAAAAAAAAAAAAAAAAAAAAGATTCTTACTTCATCATGCAAAGAAGCAGTAAGTTCATTCACTTGAAATCTAATTTTAAAATACTTCATAACATCATCTCTTTTTTTAACCAAATTATAAGCTTCCAAAAAGAACAAAATTGTGGGGAATTGCTGTAAAAAAAAAGTGTTATTTGTTTATTCTATTGTGATTGAACATTTATAACTTTATTTTTATATTTGTGTGTGTGTCTATATATATATATATATATATATATATATATATATATATATATATATATATATATATATATATATATATATATATATATATATATATATATATATATATATATATATATATATATAGAGTCACACACAAAAAAACAGTTTTGTGTGTGTATATATATATACACATAAAGGTTTAATTGCACTTATGTATCTTAAAAACGTTTTAAATTTTAAACTCAGTTTCATTTTTTTTAATTTTAGTCATCAAAATGACATAAAGGGAGGAGTTAAGTGTAGAAAAAAAGAGTGGAAAATAATAATTTACACAGGTACCCTGAAGGTGACTTTAAGACCATATATCTAGTTCCATAAAATTTTTGTTTTGTTTTTGAAAGTAGTACATTTGTACATTTTGAAACTATCAAAATTTAAATCATTTGTAGACTTTATTTAATTAAGTAAAAAACTTATATTAAATTAAATTTAAGAGTTAATTAAAAATACAGAAACTATTTCTCAAGAATAGAAAAGTAGCCATACTTTGCTAAAGATCATTAGTTTTTTAAAATGCTTTTGCCTATGCTGTATGAAAAAAAGTAATGATTTAAGATACATTCAAACCAAATGCAATAAACCAGGTCCAAAACAAGGAAAAAATTATGAAAATCTTATCAAGAGATTTTTTTGGTAAAACTACTCTGTTGAAAACCCTGATCTATCTAAATTGTTAAGTTAAAATGTTATGTTCTAATTGTTATGTTAAGTTAAAATGTTATGTTCTAATTGTTATGTTAAGTTAAAATGTTATGTTCTAATTGTTATGTTAAGTTAAAATGTTATGTTCTAATTGTTATGTTAAGTAAAAATTTTATGTTTTAATTGTTATGTTAAGTTAAAATGTTATGTTCTAATTGTTATGTTAAGTTAAAATGTTATGTTCTAATTGTTATGTTAAGTTAAAATTTTATGTTCTAATTGTTATGTTAAGTAAAAATTTTATGTTTTAATTGTTATGTTAAGTTAAAATGTTATGTTCTAATTGTTATGTTAAGTTAAAATGTTATGTTCTAATTGTTATGTTAAGTTAAAATGTTATGTTCTAATTATAGAAAAATATAGTGAGTTTAGATAAAACTGATTCAAAAAGAATTTTATTCACCGCTCAAAGTATGAAAGTCTGTTTTATAAAAAAATATAAAAATTAATTATGTTTTTCATCATTATTGTTCTGCTTATAAACATTGTGTTTGCACTAAAACAATAAATTCTTATTACTTTTAGGTCTTAAGTTATTCAAGGTGGGAAATGTGAGTATAAATAGGCATAAAAACAGTACTGAAATAGCAACTCAGCCACCAATGGTATCATGTGAAAATAACACAGATATTGATCATAATCACAATAATTTAAATCTTTGGACAACCATTGAAAATTTTGTTCTTTGCAGAAGTTGTTTTCAACAAATAGGAAAAGGTATTGAACATCCTTGCACAAAATTACATAAGCAAAGTAATTTGATGCATATTGTACAATCCATCTCACCTGTAACTAAAGGAAAAGTTTTATCAACCACAATCAACAATTTAGTAACTCATGACGCAAAAATACCATTTAACACTTTTGGCCCTAAGGCTTATTGTTTCTATTAGAAAAGTTGAACTGAAAACATCTAACTTTTCACACTTAAAGCTGAAACAACTACAATAAGATATTAAAAATTGCATAATTTATATGAGTGAATGGAGGAAAAAAATCTGTAGAGTCTTGTTTTTCTAAAAAGTTAACATTATGTATTTGTTTAATGCTGAGACTATGCTATTTCAGTGTAGAACAGAATACTGGGTAATGATAATAAACTGGAACTGAATAAACAGGCTACTATATATATATATATATATATATATATATATATATATATATATATATATATATATATATATATATATATATATAAACACTATATATGTACTTATATAGTGTTTTACTTAAACTAGAGATTTTAGCTTCTTAAAAAACTATAAAAGTAATATATTATAATAAAATATTATTCATTCATTATAATTTTATATTTTGAATAATTTGAAAGTTGATAGTTTAAATTAAATCATCATCCTCGGACTTGAAGTTGCTTTGTTATTATTTTAAGTATTAAAAGAACTATTCCTGGTCTAATATGCAATAATGTTGATGAGTTTGTTGCAACAGTTTTACAAAAAAGATCTCTTGAACCAGAGAATGTTGATGTTAAGATTGGGGTAGATGGAGGCTATCTTAAGGTTACTTTATCAATTACATTAAAGCCAGAGCTAGAAGCACATTCAAGTGAAAAGAAAAGAGTGAGATATTCTGATGAGTATGCATGTAAAGATTTTAGGTATACTAGTGTTCACGAAACTTTAGTTTTGGCAGTATTACCCTCTATTGATAAAAACTATGCAAACATAAAAATGTTGGATAAATTAAAACTTAAATCTCTCAATTACTTTTTATCAGAAAACCTAAAGGTTTTTCTAATGATGGTTGGATGCAGTCAGCAGCTTCAAAGAATCCTTGTCCATTTCGTGAAACAGAATCACCAAATATGCTGAGAGCTGAGTCATATTCTCTTTTAACTTTTTAAATTTTTACATATAAAAATAACAATATTAAATATTTTGAATTAAGGTTTAGAGTATTGGACTGATCAATATTGAAATCTGTCCATCAAGATTTCAATTCAAGAAATATGAAAGGTAGGACAACACAAAGCCAATTTTAATAAAGTCTTGCAAAGAGCTGTCTGTGTGTACAACACAAGGTATTTATAGGTAAAGGGTTACATAAAATATATAATTTAACTCTAGTTAAATGTAGTGTTTTTCATTAATAAATATTTCCTTTTTTTAAAAAAAAACTATTCTATTTAGAACTTTTTCATTACAAGTTTAAAGATAAAACTATTAAACCATTGTATTCCTGTAAACCTACCTTATACTTTCAATAAAAAAGAAAGTTAACCTTTATGAAATTATAAATTAGTCAATGTTCTAACTAGAAAACCCTAATTGTTATCAGAAGTTATTTATAAATACAATCCTTAAAGTGTCAATCCACTAAATCAAACAACCAAATAAATTGTATACAAATATTTGATTCATTTGTAGGGGCCTTAGGGAGTCAGAGGAGGAAAAAACCTCTAGTTAAAACAAGTCTTTTAGCTTAAATTTAAAAAAAAAAAAAAAAAAGATTCAACTTTTGATAGTTTTGAAATACGCACTTGGACTACTTTTGAAACCCAAAAAAAATTTCATGAGATATATAAGGTCTTAGGTCACCTTCAGGGTACCCGTGTTTACATGGTTTAGGAATTTTTAATCTAACTATTGCACAATGTATCGGCAATAATGCTGAGTCGCAAAAAAAGACTTTAGACTTGAATGTTACAAAAAGATAATTTCTTCCTGGATTTTGGCATCCAGGAGCTCCAAAAACATAAAGAAGCTTATGGAAAACTTTTTTAGAAAAAATATGACTTTAATGTTAAAGGAAAAATCAATTTTTAAACCTAGACTCCCTAAACCTAGAGTCCTTAAGGGACTTTGCATCCCTTGGTGTTGGCATATCAAAGTATTGTATGCAACAAACAATTATCTCTGATATGCGAACAAAATTGTTTCAAAATTGCAAACGATCTGGAAGACTTTGTTCCATCACATAAAGAAAGACCTTTACGTTTTGTTTTTAATGATTTCGCAGTTCCATGCAAAATTGTTGAAAACAAAACGTAAAGGTCGCCGACCAGACTCATAAAAATACTGGTCTTTGTGCATCTATTTCACACTGACCTTTTATATATTTTTTCCTTATATCTATATATTAACTTTTCAGACTTATTTTTAGTTTTTTTTTTCTAGTTTTTTGCCACAAAGTGATGTCACATACGCTAAAGAAGTTTGACTTCAAGGATTTACAAAAAAGCTGAGTCTGTCATTTTTAATAATCTAAGAAGAAGATGATGTAATTTTAGTAATCAGAAATTATCAAGAGAGTGGCAAATCTAGAATCGAAGTTTTAAATTTTCAGCTTGGATAAGACAATGTTTTATGTTTTTTCAATTTTATCAATTTTTTAAATACTAACATAAATACTAAAATTCAAAACAAAACAGTTTAAGCAAAAAGGACTTTTAATTATTAGAAAAATTTTCTTATATTACATCCTGCATGAAACGTTATTAAAGTGGATTTTTTACATTTGCATATAATATATGTGTTTATATATAAAATAGTTAATATAGCGCATTATTATTGCCAATAAAGCTGCACTTAATTAGAGAACCTACTTCAAAAAAAGTTAAATAGTTCCAATTGGTATAAGATTTTATAAATTGGTTTGTTTTTTAATTACATGCATAAATTTGATAGATTAGTGGTTTAATGTGCTGTCATCAGTGCCGTTTAGCAAAGGGTTTAAATTTGCAATATATTTTCAGTTTTTCAATCTGACGTATATATTTATAGCAAAAAGAAAATATAGCAAAAGACTTTTATTTGTTAAAATAAAATTTAAAGTTTTTTCTAGCAACAGTCTTTTCTCTTTTTTTTTGCCTTCACACCAGTACTAGAGTAGCACAACAGCACAGAAGCAGCAGGACTGTCTTATTAAATTTTTTCTTCATTAAGTTTCAGACCATAATTTTTTTAGACTTATTAGAAGTAATTACCTGAGCACATTAACACCATAATCATGACACACACAACAAATTTCTCACGGTGTTTCGATGTTTTTAGAAATTTTTAGCTTTTTTAAAAATCCCTACATTTGTTATTAAATTAAAAAGTCAGTGGAAAGACTCCAAACACAGCTTTTTTGTTTAGGCGCGCTGCAAGCTAACCACTCAGCCATGCTAGCATGTTGACTAATGAAAATTTTTTAATTATATAACCAAAAAAAAGACTTTATAA